AAAACGATGCCCAGAAAAGTCATCACCGAAGCCGGGCCCTCTGTCTTGTCCAAAGCCAAATGGAATCCCGAAACGTTCAGCAACGTGTTGCAACGTAGCCAACAAAACCGCGCATACCCTGGAAGCGGGCGGACCCACGCAAAAGAAAATCATCCAAATAATGGATGATCGAATTTATCCCGGAGACATCCGCACCACCCACTCCAAGAACGAACTGAACCGCTCAAACAATGCGCAAGAAATCGAACACCCCATGGGAAGGCACTTATCAACGTAAAATGATCCCTGCCAATGGCACCCTAGAAAACGAAAACGAAAACTATCCGGATGTACCGGCAACAAGCGAAATGCGGACTCAATATCCGACTTCGCCATAAGTGAACCGCGCCCATAACGACGAACCCAGAAAACTGCCGCATCAAACGATGTGTAAGACACCGAACAGGACTGCGGATCGATGGCGTCATTAACCGACCCCCCTTTGGGGAAAGATAGGTGGTGAATCAACCTGAACGAATTCGGCTCCTTCTTGGGCACCACTCCCAAGGGGACAAACCACCAGGTCTGAAAACGGAGCGCAAGAAAACGGCCCGCCCATACGTCCCAACCCCACTTCCTTACTCAACTTCGCCGAAACCACCTCAGCATGCTGCACCGCCGACCGCAAGTTACGAGCTAAAGGGGGGATCGAAGTCAAACTACACGGGATACGAAAACCCTCCGAAAAAAACAAAAACAGCAGCCCGGCGGTTGCTCGATCCGGATATCTATTTAGGAAAGGCCGCATCCTTTCCACTTTCACCGGAGTCGTCCCTCTTACTCGCATGCTCTCCGGGCAGGCCTCTACCCCGCTTGAAACAGCGCGACAAAGGATGGGAGCCGCCGCAACCTGAACACTCATGTTTAAAACGGCAGGACCCCCGAAACGACACGTTCCCTCTTGGAACTGCCAACATACACCCCTACGCTTTGAGGCCGATTGTCCTGGGGAGAATGAACCACCGACCCCGCCCTGAAAAAACGGACCAGGAGCCCACACGGGAGTCATGAGGCGCATCCAAAGGCCAATGTCCTTATGGTCCCAACGCAACGAAGGGCGAACAGCCCGCCGCTGCCGAAACTGCTCGTCGTATCGAAGCCATGCGGTCCCACCGTAAACCCTGTGAGCCTCGCTAATGGCATCCAGGTAACAAAAAGAGAGCTGAGCAATGCTCAGGAGTTTTCTCCCCAATGACACTGGCCATGATTGCAAATGCCTGCATCCAATTCGCAAATGTACGCGGGATAAAACGAAAGCGCAGCTTCTCAGCGTCCTCTCGCCTACCCTCGTCAACCCGCGACCCATCTAACGGAAAACGCTCCAAAGGCAAGAGCGTAAAAATTTCCACATACTCCCTCTCCAAATCCGCTCTCGAACCTCCGACGGTAAGTGCGCACCCAAAGAGCCCTCAAAACATACGTATACCTCGCCCTTGGCCGAATCTGCCACGTCTACCGTCCCGGGGACCCCAGCACCCCCATCTACAACCCCGGAAAACCAGAGCACCTGTTTCCGCTGTAACCACCCCTGGCGCAGAACCAGGAGGAGGAGAAACCCCCGAGCTCCGCACGTCCCCCACCTCCTGCTCTAGGACCCCGAACCCTTCCCCACCCGGCGACGGAAGCCACGCTGAAGCAGGCCCCGGGCCCTACCTTCATCCCGCTCAAAGTGCCGCAACAAATCCCTCAAACCAGACATCAAACCGCCGAGATCCCCCCTTAAACCTGACTCGGGAACGCCTGCATCCCTCTCCGCCCGGGCCGCGCCCCCGCCTCCCCCCAACAGGTCCCGAAGTGCTGAAGAAAATAAAACAGGGAACTCACCAGGCTGCTCAGGAGATGTACCATCAGCCGCGCGTCCCGACTCCATCGCTGCAGAGCGACCAGCTGTCGCCCCCGCATTGGTTTCCGACAGCTCGCCCTCCGATCTTCCGTCCTCTTCCTGACGGCTGCATGGCCTCCCCGTCCCAGGAGCCACGGGACCCTCCAGGCCGTGCCGCTGCTGACTCCTCCTCCTGGCACCAGCCACGACCCTCGACGTCCCTGGTCTCCGTCCCGGCACACACTCATCAGCACTCTGCCCAATGCTGCCCTTCTGGCTGTGCCTCTTCAGAGCCGCCGCTCCATGCTTCACAGAGGGCCCACCGACTGCCGCAGGGGACAACCCGGCAGCCGCAGCGCTCCTTCTCCCACGTTGGGCTCCCTCCCTGACAGGCACTTCGTCAGTGGAGGGGCCGTTGCCGACCCGTCTCCGTTGCCGCGCGGGCGGGGGGGAGGGGCTACCTCCGCACGAGACCCGCCCACCGAGCTCCGCTGAAGATGGGGATTCCTCCCGACTCCCCCGCGAGCAGAGGCCAGAGAGTGCCTTGCCCGAGGTGCCGGAGGGTCCCGAGTGGGGCTCCTCTGGGGGAGGGGGAGTCCTGGCTAAAGCGCTCCGGAGGCCGAGACCTCCGAGCATGTGGGCGCTCCCGCCCCCCTTCCTCTGCTGATTAGCCCGGGCCCTGTGATAAGCCCGGGTCCAATGACAAGCCCGGGTCCTGCAGAAAGGCAGAGACCCGGCTCTGCAGCCAGTCTATTCCTCGTGAGGCTGCTGCCTCACGCAGCTGGGCCACCAGACCATCCATGACAGCCCCCACAGTCTCTCAGGGAAAAAAGGCCCTAATAATGCTGGTGTAGGTAGGGTGGGAGGGAAGCTCACTGAAGCTCACTCACCAACGTCCAGCTCCGACTGACCGCCCCCACCCAGGACACCCCACCCAAAGGTGCCAAAGAGACCACCCACGTTCTCCCTCTACCAACCAGCTCCCACCTATACATTTTTCAAACCCCTGCACTGACTTAACCCTTTCTAGCCTTCCTTACCCACTCTAGGCCTAGTCATGCCTGCCCTGCGCTACTTCTTTCCTGTCATTTACGCTACGGGCATTACTGGATTTGCATACAGGAGAGTTAAGGGATCCTAGGGTCAGGAGGCATCGGTCGTCCAGGTAGGTCTGCAGAGATGGGGGGATGAAATCTTCCATGCCGCCAGAACTGAGGATCCTATACATAAAATACAGGCATAATCAATTAAAGATTAAACCAACGAGTAATATACTGTATAAGGCACAACAAGCTCTTAGCGATAGAGGAGAGAGAGTAGGATGGCCCTTAATATATGGGGCAGCAAGATATTTTCCTCAATACAGGTTATAACATTGTTTTAAGAAAAAGGGGGGAGAACAGAAGAGATAATCAGAAGGACAGTATGAGCCCTGGGGGGTAACATAAGGATACGGATGCTTAGCGTCTGCATTCAGGTGAGGGATGAGAGGAACAGACACGTGGGTGTCAACTACGAGGGTGGCGGAGTTCCACTTCGTTGAATGTAGGCTGTAAAGCGAGAGATGATTGATGAGATTCAGTCCATGGAATGATGGAGCAGGTGATGAAAACGTCCTTGTTTGTGGGTATTGAGTTGACAGTTGGTGAGGTGTGGCGGGTGAGATTTCTGCCGTGAGCATGATGCTGATCGTCGTCTGGAGCTTTCTGATGGTGTTGTGTGAGGGTGCACCTGAAGGTTGCGCAGGGTGTCTTGAAGCTCATCAGGGGTCTTGTAGATGTGGCCTCGGGCCTGGTACCGGAAAAACGCACTGCGAAGGGGAAGCACCATTTATATGGTATGCCATGCTGTTGAAGCACTTGTAAATGTGGCTTCATGGCCCTTCGTTTGGCGATGGTAGTGGGACAGAGGTCTTGGAATAGCTGGTAAGTGTGACCCTGGAACGTGAGGGATTCTGCGTTACGGGCTGCTTGTAGAGAAGTTATTCTTTAGTGCGAAAGAAGTGGAGCTTGGCTATGATATCTTGTCGTGAGCCGTTGGTGCATTTTGGTGCCATTGCCCTGTGACCCTCTCCATTTCTAGGCGTTCTATGGGAATAGCAGTGACAGTGGATTGGACATCAATAATCGACTCAGGAAGGCCACGAATTTGCACGTTTGAGTGCCTAGCCCGATTCTCAAAGTCCTCTAAGTGCGTTTGTAGTGTAGCATTTTCGTCACAAAAAAGGTCGAGTTTGTCTGCTTGTGTTTTAAACGAGGTGTTGACGTCATCCACCCAGGTTAGCAGTGCATTGCCCTAGTTCGCGGATTTCTCTGGACAGCTTGTCTGTGATGCGGTCAGAGGTCTGTTTCAGGGCTTTGTGTAGCATTTTTTCAAAACGTGTGAGAAGATCAGGAGTAGTAAGATCAGGTGTTGAAGCATGTATGGGGGTCTCTGTCTCAGCATCAGACCCACCCTCAGAAGTGCAGGGATGGCTTGGCTGCTCCGTGTGCAGGGCTGTATACTTCAATGCTGCTTGCTTTCTGCTGTGAGAGGGTGTGGCGGCCATCTTGGAGGAGGCACGAGCAAGGGCCTCCTTGATCAGTTTGCCGGGTGGCGGAGCCTGGTGCCTGGACGCTCCTCTGACCATATTAGCGTGTGGCAGGCAGGTCGCTATGGCAACCAGGGCTGTTTATATGACGGCGCGGGCCAGGATCGCGGGTCGGGGCGGCTGTCTCGCCTGCGGTGCGGAGGAGCCTCAGGGAGACATGTCCATCACCGCTGGCCCGCGCATGCCAGAGTTTTCTTTTGGTGGTATTTAATCACCTCTGGGTTTTTTATTTTTTGCTAAACAAACCCAAAAACAACAACATTTTGAAAAAAAAAAAAAGTTTTTTCTTAGTTTTTGTTATAAAATTTTGTAAATAAGTGATTTTTCTCCTTCACTGATGTGCGCTAATGCGGCTGCAGTGATGGGCACTGATAGGTAGCACTGATGGGCACTGATAGGTGGCACTGATGAGGAGGCACTAGTAGGTGGCACTGATGGGAATTGACAGGCATCACTGATGGGCACTGAATGGTGGCAATGATAGGCAGCACTGATAGGCGGCTCTGACTGGCACCATTAGGTGGCACTGATAGGCAGTACTGATGGGCACTGATAGGTAGCACTGATGCGCACTGATAGGCAGCACTGACTGGCAAAGGTAGGTGGCACTGATTGGCAGCACTGATAGGTGGCACTGATTGGCATTGATAGGTGGAACTGACTGGCACTGATAGGTGACACTGAAAGCCAGCTTAGATGGGCACTGATATGTGGCATTGATGTGCACTGGTAGGCACTGATATGTGGCATTGATGAGGCACTGATGGGCACTGGCAGGTGGCATTGGTGAGCACTGACACCTGGCATTGATGGGCACTGACAGGTGGCACTGCTGAGGCTGGAGGCCTTGATGATCAGTGTACATGTCCCCTCTGAGGAATGCTGATTACCGGCTCTCCTCTCCTCTCGAGCTGTCCGCGTGACAGCTCGTGAGGAGAGAAATGCCGATAACCGGCATTTCCCTATTTACATGTGATCAGCTGTGATTGGACACAGCTGATATGACTGAGCCGACATCTTCGGCTCTTACCGTTGATCGGTGATCTGCTGTGTCCCAGGGATGCAGCGCACCACCGATTGCCGCGCTGTGCGCTTAGACTGGGAGCACATCTTATGATGTCCTCCCAGAACGAGAGAATCGCCTTGCGCCCGTCATTACCTTATATGACGGGAGGGAGGGAGGCGGTTGAATAAAGGGAAGTGTAGGATAAGGGCATGGATGTGTCTTTTGTAGTTTCCCTTTCCAGGCATAAAATGGCATTAGAGGACAACTTGGATTAATAGGCAGTGTAGGTGCCATAAGAACCAGTGTAGTTCTCCATATGTAAGATAATGGTGACTAGAAGCAGGGCTAGGACAAGGGGTGGACGCAAGGGATGGCTGCCCTGGGCGCAACTGATGGCTGCACTGGGCTCAATGGTTCACTGTCTCCTGGATGCAATGGTTTACTTTAGGGATAGGGGCACCTTCCTTCTGTTACAAGGCTGACAGTTGGGCATCTTTGCCCTGGTCATGGATGACCTTGTCCTGACAATGACTAGAAGGGTCACTTAGAGTTAAAGCAGTAATAACCAAACACAAAAAAATTATTAGAGAGGCATAAGCACAAGGAACACATCCCACTTGCTGTAGGTTATGCCACTTGTGCTGATTTTTGTATTTTTATTTTGGCTGCAATTAGACTTTAACATGACAATATCATTTGGGAGGGCTACTTTTATTTTAATGGATAATTATCATAAAAATACCAGCTGGTGACACTGATATAAAAGTCCTTGTTTAGATCTGTTGTCAAGTAACAACACTCTTCCCGTCTCCCACATTCTCCTACATGTATATTGCCCTATCACATGATCCCTCAAAGGAAACTCTAAGCTTCTCTGCTAATGCACGGTTCCAAACATACATTATTCCACTGGTGTCACCATTTAAAAAAAGGCCTGGGAAAAAAAAACAATTGCAGTCAGCAACAATTAAGAAATATCTCCAGTAAAAAAAACACATGCAGCCTACTATCATAGTGCATGTGGAAGGGGACAGCCTGTTTGTCAAATCCTGTTTGAAATTCACAAAACCCAAACCTAACAGCAAATCCTACTGAAGTCTATGAGCCATGAATCGTGATACTACATTTTTGCCATTTTCAATGCTAATAGGCAAGCTATTGTCAACAAAGGTCATGAGGAGCTGTGCACTGCCATCAGCTAGTGATCCATTTGTTCAGCAGGTTGTGGGCTTGAAAGTGAAAGCGATGCAGTGACTCCCTATCCACCAATCACTCTCACACAGCGGACTGCGCCCCTTGCCCCTGTCAGCAGGTTTCCCCTTCCCCTGTGGTCCCCAAGCTCCCCCGCACTTATCGGGAGCCCAGGACCACAACCGCCTGCTTCTGCAGGAAGAAACATATAAAAGCATGATGTAAACAATGAAACCATAAGTGAGGATGATTTCATCACTTCCGGTTTTTCAGATCCACACTTCTCTGGCCGGTACAGCAGGGGACATATCTAACCAAGCAGATCTGTGCTTGGTTAGATGCTGTAAAGGGCAGGGGAGGCATTGAGCTTTATTAGACCACTAATCTCTCCAAAAGGAGTACCTGTCACCTGCCCAATGCTATCACATAAGGATTTATTAACCCCTTGTGGTAGAAATATAGTAAAAATAATTAAATAAGAGAAGAAAAAAAGTAAAAAAACTAAAATGTATTTTTTTTAAATTTAAAAAGATTGGGTAACCCACGTTGCCCCGCACACATGCACAAATGTAAACGCAGTTCATATGCGTATGTAAACCACGGTCACATGTGACACATTGCCATGAATGTCAGAGTGAGAACAATAATTCTTGCATTAACGTTCCTGTTTAACTCTAAACTGATGAGTGGTAGAAGCTTTTAAAATGTCACCGATGGAGATTTTTGGGTACTGTTTTTTTTTTTTGTTATAGCACAGGCGCACACAATTTTTGTATCGATTTACTCAACCTTATGTTTGATATTTTACCAAAAAATGGGTTGTATATTGTGTGTGCTAGCATTAAATTTTATTATATTTTTCCTGAAAATGAGCATTTAATAAACAGCGCAAATATAGTAAAATAAAAATTTGCAACTATCATCTTTTTATTCTACAGGGCCTCTGCTTTCAGAAAATATATAATGTTCTGGGGTTTAGGTAATTTTTATTGGAAAAATAAAGATTTTTATACATGTGCAAAAAATTCAAAACGTTGCTCTAGAGCCAAACTGGTTAAAATGTCACTCTAAGGCAGTGGTTCTCATCCTTCCTAATGCCTTTTAATACAGTTCATCATGTTGTGGTGACCCCCAACCATAAAATTATTTTCGATGCTACTTCATAACTGTAATTTTGCAGTGGGAGGAGTAGTGCCACATCATTGGTGTCAGTGGGAGGAGTAGTGCCACATCACTGATGTCAGTGGGAGGAATAGTGCCACATCACTGATGTCAGTGGAAGGAATAGTGTCCCATCGTTGGTTTCAGTGGGAGGAATAGTGCCCCATCAGTGGTATCAGTGGAAGGAATAGTGCCACATCGTTGGTGTCATTGGGAGGAATAATGTCCCATCATTGGTGTCAGTGGGAGGAATAGTGCCCCATCATTGGTGTCAGTGTGGGAAGAATAGTTCCCCATCATTGGTGTCAGTGCTGCTCGGCTCCTCTCTCTCCAAGCTTCACCTCCTCGCCCGTGATTGGCCACCTGTGTGCCTCTCCTGAGCTACAGGTCCGGTGGCCAATCATCGGCGAGGAGGCGGAGCTGTTAAGTGATCCCGGGGGTGAGGCCAGATGACAGGGGCGGCATGTCATCCCGCCCACACATCTCAGTCCAGGGAAATGTGGGCGTATCTGCATGTGGGCAGACCTGCCCGGAGACTGATAGAGGAGCGGTGTCTCGGTTCCTAAGACCATCGGAAATATGTATTTTCTGATGGTCTTAGGCGACCCCTGTGAAAAGGGTCATTCGACCCCAAGAGGGGTCGCGACCCACAGGTTGAGAACCGCTGTTCTAAGGGCTATATAGGAAAAACACAAATCCTTTAATTACGTGCTTGGGGGATTCCTTTAAGCTATATGTAATGTAAAGGAACAGTATGACACAGACATTGACAGTGATACTGTATTCTGGCATCATATATTTTGGATGTGTAATTGATTTTTTAACTTTTACACTTAGCTTGGCTTAAATATAGCATCAACACCCCAATATGATTTGTTTCAAAAGTTTTTTAGGTAGTTTTATTTTTTACAGGGCGGACTCCCTGTGCAAAATTACACACACACACACACGGTCCTCGCTCCCACCGTATTCACGGGCAGGGGGCGTGCGTGCCCACCAGCCTGGCGGTGCTGTGATTCAGTACAGCGCCAATCACTCAGCAAAATGATGTTTAGCCTGGATCTGCTGATCGGCTGTACCCAATCAGATCTCAGCACAGGAAATGATGCACATTCCGTTCCAGAGAGAGAAGAAAGCAGATCCATGTGAGTCCAAGCACTACATATTTACAGTAAAAGCACTGCTAGGTCATTTTTAACCCCCTGATTCCCCCCCCCCAGTTAACCCCTTCACTGCCCTGTCACCAGTGTCATTAGTACAGTGTACAGATTTTTTTACTGATCACTGTATTAGTGTCACAGACGACTTCAGATAGCATGAGCGTCTCTCCCAGATACTGTCAAGATTGCCCACCACTACATCAGTCATCACATTTAACCCTTTGATTGCCAGGAGCACGCTCACATACACAATAAACTTCCATTGCTAGTATAGTGTTTGAATGAATCAATATCTTTGATCAGATCAGAACTATACCAGCGTTCACAATAGTATAGTGTCCCCAAAAACACAGTGTTAGCAAGATAAGCCCCAACCAACATCTGCCAGCGCCTAAGTTTAGCCCCTCTGCCCCCCCCTTTCCCCCCCCCAGCAAGTGCAGTGTCAGTAGATCACTGCCATTTGATACATTGCACACAAAACTGCAGGGTTAGCAAGATCAGGCCTGATCTTTGCTAGCACTAGCAGGTAATTTATTTTTATAGTGGTTCAAGCAGTCCCTGACTGGTTCTCTTTTTCCTGTGAGTCACACTAGGTACATAAACATTTAGTGGCCAAAATGTCCAACGAAAAGGTACTCTAGTGAAGAGGCCTACAGGATTCTGAGTATGTCAGATGAGAGCGAAGGGGAGGCCTCACTGACAGAATCAGGCTCAGAATACAAACCTGTAAACAGCTGCAGCACCCCGACAGATAGCTCAGACGTTGGAGAAGAGGTCCCTGCTAAGGTCAGGTGTACCCGACCCCGTTCCCAGGTTGCTGAGGTGTTAAAATTGCATGATGATTGTTTATATGCAGCCAGTACTAATGCCTCTACTAGTGTACTCTACATTTTGGTGAACTGGTGAGCACCAGCGTTTAGTACAACCTAGTCTTTTTCATACCAGCACTGCAATATCACTTGGTGATGTGGCGATTCCCATAAGTGCAGTACAAGCTGGTGCAGTGGCTAGCACAAGTAGTGTCCCACAGTCATCAATAATTTGCACACAGGCCCGTAGAACTTCTAGTATCCTTCCAGATGTGCTTGCAAATCCCGATTGGCAGCCCACAAATTCGACAGCACCTGTACTTCCCCCATTCACTGCCCAACCTGGAATTCAGGTGGAAACAGCAAATTTAACTACTTCCCTTGATTTTTGGAGCTGTTTTTCACAGAAGATCTGTATGCATTGATTGTGGCTCAAAGCAATTTGTACGCACAACAATTTATTGCCGCCAACCAAAATTCAAACCTTGCCAGTCCATTTGCATGGAAAGCTATTACGGTTTCCAAATTTAAAGTTTTTTTGGGCCTAACCCTCACCTTGGGCATTACTAAACAAAATGAATAGCGGTTGTATTGATCCACAGACCCGATTCATCATACGCCCGTGTTCCCTGACATTACACTCTGTCGTCCTCGGGGTGACCCTGAATTTGACCGGCTCCACAAGATTCGGCCCCTAGTAAATCACCTTAATCAG